GTGTGTGTGTGTGTGTGTGTTGTGTTTGATACATCATTAACAAATTATCTTGTGGCGATCTATAGGCGATATAATTTAAACATCTATTTAAAGAAATAATCTCATAACTATTGATCTCTGAGTTGCAATAACAATTATTATAAATTGATTATTATAAATTGATTTCGAATTAGTAATTCAGTTTTTATTTCTAGTTTATAGTCCTGTAGTTTGCAATGGAGAAATAGAACGAAAAGATTAATGCTAATTGTCATTAGTATAACTGATCTATATAATATTTATTATATAATATTGTCCATATTCTAGAAAATTTTTATTTACAAAATTACAATGTTTTGCACTGTTAAAGGACAAGGCCTTGATAGGAAAGTCCATCGGAATCCGGCGATTCCATTCTGTTCCTTAAATGTTCCAATGTATTTGCTAAATGTTTCTGTATTTGATCAGTTTCTTCACTTGTTTCAAGATTAGGAAGTTCCTCTCTAATTTTCGCAATTACTTGATTTAATATTTGTACAGTTACCTGAAAAAAAAATTAAATTTAAAAGTAACAACTCAAAAACAAAAATAAGTCAATGTGCTATTTTGTAATTAAATCTTACAGCTGTGTTTCCTTTCTCATAGAAATAGATATAATGGTTCAGCAGCTCCACATATAGCTGTACTTGCACAGATGTATCCATGCACTGGCTTGCTATTCTAATACCTTTCTTCAAACAATCTAATACTTTACCGCCTTCTTGCATCTAAAAAATTGTATCATGTTTTTCATACAATTTATTTCTCGATCGAGGGTTAAATTCATACATACTTCTTTTCCGCCCGTAGTTAAAGATTTTCCAGACCAAAATATATGTGAACAAGTAGCAACTCCTCTACATTGATCGGGTTTTCTTAACAATTTACTGGCATATAAAGCGCATTGGTTGCGTACAGGCTCTGCATTTTCTTCGCCAAAACAGCTCATTTGTTCAAATGTGGCGATTATTAAGGTGATTGCTGCAAGCTGTGCTTTTGAATCACTTATTTCATCTTCATATATCGAGAATGCTTGGCTCATAAATTCGTAAGCAACCATTTCAAAATTATCAAAACGGATTTCGCCAATTGCTATCGCACCTTGCAGAAAGAGTCTTAAAGGTAATTCAGCTAATTCGGCTTTCATTAATGCCGTAATAGTTGTGTGACAGAATTGAAAAATTTTTTGACACTTCTTTTGCCACATTTCATCCTAAAAAAAATATTGATTTATTGATATATTGTCACGAATATTATAATTATTTGACGATCTTATCTCATTAAGAAACTACATAATCAAAATACAAGATACAAACCTGATCCTTTAATGCTTTATACGTAAATGCCAATTGATAACTTTGAAAAACTATAGGCGGAAGAGTGAATTTTATTCGTTTGTTACCGCCTGCACTAAAATGTTTTCTCGCAGCACTTAATATCATATATTGCTGATCTGGTGTTTCCGATTTAAAATGATGTATTAATCTACCGAGCAATCCTTGTTCCTCGGCAAAATCTTCAGGATCTTCTTCTATATTGGGTTGATCCGATTGATCTTGTACCAAAGAAGATACCATAAAGAGCACCGAATCTACTTGTTCTTGCGTCGGTATTAATGTCTCGTTTTCTAAAATATTTGTTATTATGTATATGCCCAGTGATTTTCTGCCTTCATAATCGAAGTAATCCAAGAGAGGCGCATAGTGTTCAAGCTTAAGCACAGTTAATATATTCTTATAATTGTCTACAGGAATTTTCATTAATCTAACTAATTCTCTTGAAACAGCGCTATTATACTCCAACCTAAGAAAAAAGATGTTACACATAGTATACAGCACAAAGTCAATTATTAACATAAAATTCGCGTTGCTTGTTCCTCCTATATTCGTTTCTCGTTTTTTCTTTTTCCATCGTCTGCGAATATATATCTATTCTACTTTAAGTATCGAAAATTCTAGGAAGTGCAAGCAACATGAACAAACCTGTAATAAATGTACTTACTTATCCACGTTCTGTTTCTGGAATATTTGAACTGTCGTAAACAAAACCTTGTCTACGTAATCTACACGATCAGGATAGCATTTATGTGCTAAGTTTATGAGAGCTACTTGAAGAGACACAATATCTTCCGGAGGCATATCTTGTCTTGTCTGTAAACAATATTTTTTTATGTAGATATATGAATTATATAATATAAGCACAATATTATGTTTCATGACTATTCTCAGACTTAAACTAGAAGAGTAAGGAATTTTTTGTTTTAAAATCATGATATAACTATCAAACATTGTGTAGTATCTAATAATCATTGAATAGAGTCACTTTTCTAACATAATCAGCAAAATTTATTCTATTTAATTGATACCTGTATAATGGTTGCTATTTGATCACTAAATACGTCAAACAATTTGACATCTTGTGGAATTCCTGGCACTTGGTTAGGACTTCCTGGTCCTCCTACACCATCAGATCGTTGACTAAAGGCTGCAAGCCGATCAATCAGCGATATGATTATGTTTTTAACATTTACTCCATTTTGCAATTCTGCACACGATTTCAAAAATGCATTTAACGTTTGTAAATGGAATTCGTCAGGAAAGACCTAGATATAGATGTACAAGATATTAATTTTTGATCATTATTTTTTAAATAAAACATTTAAGTTATATATAAAGATATACTTGAATTATACACTCCATAAGATATTCTTGTGCTATTGCATCCCTACAACTAACTACTTGTTCTAAGATTCCTGGCAGTACAAGCTAAAAACAGATTTAATATGTACAACAGATTAGTAATACGTGATAAAATCTGTGATTTTAAGAAAATTATATGTATATATATATATATATATAATATTATTTTTATTATTTATTTCTTTAATTATATGTATATATATATATATATATATATAAAATATACCTTCTTATATTTATCCAATGTCACTGATTCTAGTTGACTAAGTCGTACAAGATTTGTTCCAACTAAAATTCGAAGTTCTTCTCTTTCCCTTTCTCTTCTTTCTCTATCTCTACTGTGACCTTGATGTTGCATGCGTACCCATAATTTATTCATTTCTGCAAAATTCATTAAACGAAATCTATGCTATCACGAACCTAAAAATAGAATTCCAGGAATTACAAGGAATTATGTACATGTAGAAAATGTTATAATTTATTAATTCACATACAGTTCCATCTTCATCATCACCCTCGGTAACATCTGGCAAGATATTTCTTGTACACTGTAACAAATAATTCCTCAAGAATAAACCGCGCAATGGATGTTGCACACCCCTACACATTTCCACAAGATCTCTCAGAAGATCTCTTTTTAAACCAGGAGTTGTTTTGATGTAAACCAGACCAACGGTGATAAGTAAGTAACTGAAATATTAATCACAAATTATCTTATTTGTTAATGAGAAATAAGTGATAAAATAATAATAGCAAAATACAAATTAGATACATACAGTCTGGGTACAATATTGCCTACATATTGTACTAATTCATAGAGATCTGTAACTTTTCTTCCTTTTTGAAATTCATCCAACAAATAAAGTTCTAAATGCCTTAATTCATCTGTGATTGCCATATCTAATAATAATTATTATAAGAAATACTATCGAGCTAGATTCTCATATTGAATGTTATATTTCAAATTGTCATTAAATAATTAATAAAGGATACACAGTTCATAATAGCTCTTTGGGCTCAGAAGAGAAGTTCTGAGTTCTCCTAACATGGTAGAGGCATGTTTTAATGCATCCATCAATTTAGATTTGTCAAGACAATGCTTCATCTGAAAAGCTTGAACTTTTACTACACCGATTGCATCTTCCAACAACTTTTCTTGTTCTTCCATTCCCGTTATGGCAGGTGTCATTGGCTGTGAGAAAAACAAAGATACCTACCAGGAACACCAGGTAGTACCACACTAGATAAGCCATTCAATTCAAGCATGCATTACAGATGCAAGGAGAGTACATTGTCGAAATAAGCAATGTATTTGTAAAAGCATTGATAGCAAAGCAAAAAACATAATTCTTGAAACATAATGCACACAAAATACAAGTATTTTCTTGCAACTAACAGTAGCATAGGATTTTATTAACTCATTAAAATGATTTGTGAAAAATTAATTTCTTTAATAATAAACATGAAATTATGTCGTAATATACATTAAAAATTAAAACATAATAATAAGACATATAATCTCTCTATAATTTATATGCTGTCTGGTTCATAAATTAATTAAAAATTAAATATTTTTTCTTATATTGGAAATTCAATAAAATATCTTACGGAAATCCTTAAACATTCTGTGCAGATAACCTGTACAACGCTAGGCTAATTCTTTATGGAATAATTAGCACCACATGGATCAAATCTATAGAGAAGTACTTATTTTCTCTTGCAAGCGAAATTGCGGAACATGCCTCTCTAAATTTGATCATTCTTACCATTTTTTGAGAAGAAAAACAAATTTATTCGTTGAATATACCTCGGGGACTAGTGGTTGACAGGCATTGACATGAAACACCAGATACGCCCGACTTTACCGAAGTTTCATGGACTTCTGATAATTATTGTCGCCAGTCATATTGTTATACATTTTACAAGTAGTTATTCATAAAGAAATGTATAAAATAGAAATTTTAATTTAATTTTTTAATTTAAATTTAAATAGATAAAATTTAAATACACTGAAAATTCAATAAATATATCAAATTGACATAAATACATAAAAAATACATACATAAAAAAGGAAAAATTTTGTAATAACCTTTTGTAAGAACCTAATAATAATTTTGTAAACTATTACTTGAGGTGATTATTCATAATTTTAAATTGTGAAAAAATATTTCAAATAAAAATATAAGTTAATTTTTTAAAAAAACTTTACACACACACACACACACACACACACACACACACACACACACACATATCTATACATATATATTTTATAGATTAAATTTAGAATAAAGAAGTAGAAGAGATGCAGTGTTATAATAAATATATAGCCTAAACTTTTTTTTATTAAATACAAATATATTTATTGTAACCCAATGTAAACAGGGCTATGTCTGATTATCCAAAGAGTGTAGATTTGTAGGAGTCTGTTCCTAATGAATAAACAACCTTTCTGTGAATCAATGCCAATAATAGCGAGGCGATGGTAAAGTGTAAAATATTATTTAACCTTCAGTGATTTCATATATATATCCAACTCATCTTCAGATTCGTTTGGATCATTGCATTCACTGTGTGGAAGAACAGTTTCAGGAGCTTCAGAATCAAAGTATTTTTCTTCTTCATCTTGATTTCTCAATTCTACATTATCATAAGCTTCATTGTCATCAACAGTGCTGAAAATGAATATACATAAATAAAATAATTGTTTTTTTGCTCTTGTACATTATGAAATGTATTATCAGCATTTAATCACGTAAATTATCATAAGAATATTGTTAATTATAAATTAATTAAATTTATATTATGTAAATTTATATTAAGATTATGGATTTTTACATTACTTATATTATTATATCAGTACAACAAAAATATACCTATAATCAAAATCTCTATCTTTACCATCCAAGAAACTTTGATACATATTTGTGACAAATTCCTGTCTAAGTAATTTTATTTCTTGGCTTGATATTTTATGTTGCGTTTTACTGCAACTTTGTAATTTGTTATCTCTATCTTTATCACTATTATTTTTTTCACTTAAATTTTCACCCCATTGGTAATGACTCTGTTTATCAAGGTTTTTAGATGCAATACTCTTTCCATTATCATCAGTATCATCATCATCATCATCATCATCCGAATCATTCTCTTCCCGTACTTCGTCTTCCTCCTTCTGTTGAGATCTTAAGTATTTTTGTACTTTATTTCTCTCGATAGTTTCCATAAGTATATCCACATAATTTGCACTTTGCGCATCAATGCTGTCTCTAGCTTTCTTTTCTTCTTCTGATAAATATTGCCCTATTAAATGTTCATATAGTAATGGATTCCTTTTCATCATTTCACACTCGCTGAAATAATCTCCCTTCTCTATCAATGTTCTCAGAGCTTCATATCTTCTGTTTCTAACATCGATATGTCGTGTAGAATTATTAAAATATCTTCGTAATCTATTCACGTGGTAAACCGTCTCATAATCCTGACTCTTGTTGAAATATTCCAAATGTTCCACTCTCAAGTAATGTCCGAATTTAGACAGAAATGAGCAATGGCTTTTCTTCAACAATTTCTCAGCTATGACACGCTTTTCTTCAAACGTCAATTCGGGTTCTCCTTTCTGTTGACTCTTGAAGATCGCTTTGCTATTAGTCACATGATCCAAAAGTTTGTCTTCAAGATCGTCGTGTTTCACATCTGACATAGGAAAATCCATGTTTCGTTCATCGTTTCTATTATTTACTAGAGCATTTATTTTTGTTCCTAATATTATGTTTTCCTGCCGAGTGCATGATTCCTCGACTTCGTTCATTAGAAAGTGAAATCAAATATGAGAGATGAATCAGTATTTTATCTTCTGTGTAGTTAGTATATTATATATAAGCGTACATAAGATTAACCTAGGACGCACATAAAGGACGTCTTGTTTCATATCACGTTTGTCTCCTGCGGGATTACGTGTGCCTTGTGTTTCTTCGTTATTGTTACTCGCGATAAATAAGATAAATGAGATAAATAAGCACGATTTTCACGATGCTTTTCCATCCAAGAATACTTCATAAAAATTCCATCTGACAGTCATCATCCGGAATCTTTTGTGTCGCCATGCGTCATAACCAAGGGAAACTTAACCTAACAAGCAATCGTCGATGTGAGAACATAGCAACAAAAATGTAATGCTAGTCGTGGAAAGTCATATAAAATAGTGCAGATCTTATTGGTACCACATATTTAATATTTATGGAAATTTCTCGATCGACAGGTACACTTTGCAAATACGTCTACATCTACATTGTTTACTAATATTGCATTCGAGTTTCTTATCTATTCTTATAATTGATTATCAATCAATCGCCCATCATCTTGTCTTACAATTTCTCAAATCACAATTTAATATATTATTTTATATATATATATTATATATATATATATATATATATATATATATATATATTTGCTAATTCAAAACATTATATGTTATTTAATGACATGACAGAATGATATAAAAATTAAAAAACTATATTTATGTAATTATTTTTATTATAATATTTTATTTTATATATTTTACTTTAATATATCATTCTTTTTTTCTTATTTAATATGTTTTGTAGAAATTATTTTTAAAAATATACTTACAATGATAGCAATACAACATAACTTTATATTTATATGCTGTTTATCCATTTGGAATAAATGATATGTGTCATCAATATTTGTTTAACCTATTAAAGATAAAAAGATTTCTTAATCATGAGTTAATTATAATTATATTGCAGCATGGCGGAGAATTGGTTGAATGATGTAGAAAGATGGAAGTGGAACTGGACAGAATTATGTGGACATCATGGAGATATTAATCCTTTGAATCCAGAAACACATGACTTAAGTATATGTTTCCAGCAGCTTTGTTTACAGGTAGTGTGATAAAATTCAATCTCATGTTAGATACAAGAAACAAGTTAATATTATTTGCTTATCAATTGTATTTTTTTAATTTTTAGATACCAGTATTAGCTCTCATAGCTATAATTTCTGCTTACTATTGCGGAAAAAGAGATACATCTTCATCTCGACAGCAGTACATTTATTATGCTATAAACATAAGGATTTTAATTACAATATGTCTTGTGATACTGCCTATCATAAGAGCATATATTATTTTGACTAATACCACTATACCGTCAATACATAATAAGATACAAGATAGTACACCAGATCCAAAAAACTGGATATTTTCCTTGACAAGAATACAAATTCATCATTAGAAAATGAAACAGATATCATAAGCAGGATACGCGATGGATTAAATCACACTCTTAGATTTGCTGAATCAATTTTCTTAGGAAATAGTGTTAAGGATACTACTACAACTCCATTATACTTCAATAATTATGAATCGAATATTACAGATAAATTCACTTCTGCTAAACCAGTGGATTATCTTGTCGCAGGAACTGAAGGTTTAGCTTGGGTTGTGCATCTTTGTTTTATTTTGAGTTTAAAACGTGGACGTAATCCTAATCCACGAGGACCAGTATTAATACGAGCATTAATATTTCTTTTAATCGTTATTTCTGTGTTATTATTACGCAGCCATGTCAATAACAAGCCTACAGATGATGTTTTGCCAAATCTGTCATTGGGATTCAGTATCACTATAGTCACTCTTTTAATATTGTACACGATAACACTGATACCTGGTTCTAATAGATCAGAACAAACGAGAGGGTCATCTCGAAATGCTATGGTAAGCTACTTTCATATAATTATGTAACGTTTTTATTAATTTTTCTTTCTGATTGTGCAAATAGTCAAGTAGCATAAAATCTACTTAATTCTTTATGATATCTAAAATTGTTGAGTTATCAAGTAAGCAAAAATATCAGTGATTCAGTGATTAAATATGTTTGTAGATAGGAGAACGTACTCCACTGTTAAGTAGTCCCACTTTTTCATACGTACAATTTCCGGAAGAACAAGATCCAAGCTATCTTGGAATGGCTATGGAAGATACAACAATCATTTCTAAACTTCTGTTTCATTGGGTAACACCATTAATGGAAAAAGGTGTTAAAGGATTGCTAAACCATTCTGATGATTTATTTGATTTACCCGATCAGATTAGTACCAATACAATCAGTTATAAACTTGATCAACATTTACATAATATGGTAAACGAGATGGCATCTACAACTTATTTATGATATAATTCTTTTGGAATGTTTTGAATATATACGGTAATTATTTGATAAATTGATTCTTGCAATAATAATAATATAAATGTTGTAGCCGAAAACTGTAAGCAATGAAATCGAAAATAATTTGGAAACTCCGCTTCATACAGATGTAAAAGTAGTTACAAAGAAAGTGACGTTGTTTTACTTACTGCATCGATGTTTTGGCTGGGAATTTTATGCGGTTGGCATACTTAAATTTATTGCAGATTGCAGCTTATTCATGGGACCAATATTTTTAAATAAATTGATAGGTTTTATCGAAGATAAAAATGAATCACTTTCATATGGATATCTATATGCAACTCTTATAATACTCAGCAGTATAATTGGTATAAAATTGAAATTTTCTATATTTCCTTAATACTTTCTATAATATTTTATAAATTACATCAATAATGTTTTAGGTGCTTTTTGTAATACTCACTTTACATTTTGGATGTCTCTTGTGGGTTTGAAAATTCGTTCTGCGATTATTACTTTAGTCTATCGAAAAACATTGCATTCTTCTAATATCGATTTAAATCACAATTTTAATTTCGGTGAAATTGTTAACTTTATGAGTACTGATAGCGATAGATTGGTCAATAGCTGTCCTAGTTTTCATACATTTTGGAGTATACCATTTCAGGTAATTATAACAATGATGATAATAGTGAAATATATTTTATTTTTTATATATCAGACAGACATATAAAGACAAAGTATATTCTATATTTTAAATAAATTTTTAAAAAAAGAATGAAACGAAAAACGAATATTTGTTTCCAGTTATTCGTGACGTTATATCTTCTGCATAAGCAAATTGGAGCTTCATTTTTAGCTGGTGTTGCATTTTCAATAGTACTTATACCAATTAATAAAGTAATAGCAAATAAAATTGGTAAGCTCAGTACTAAATTAATGGAATATAAAGATCAAAGAGTAAGATTAATGGGAGAGATATTACGAGGAATAACTACAATTAAAGTTAATGTATGGGAGGAGCACTTCATGCGAAATATCTTCAGTTAGTATGTTTTTATATAAATAATTTTAATTAAATATTTTCTTTTTATATTTTTATCAAAATATTTCTTTTTTTATATAGAGATAAGAGAAAGTGAAGTGAAATATTTACGAGGTAGAAAATACTTGGATGCACTTTGTGTTTATTTTTGGGCGACTACACCTATCATTATCGCAATATTAACATTTGCAACATATGTATTGTCCGGAAATGAGTTAGACGCTAAAACGGTGTTTACGGTTATGGCATTATTGAACATGTTAATAGGACCTTTAAATGCATTTCCATGGGTTTTAAATGGCCTTACAGAAGCATGGGTTTCCCTGAAAAGAATTCAAAGAATGTTGGATGTATGTATATTAAAATTATAGTATAACGTACAAAGCATTATTGCATTTAGAGATTATTCAGTTTTTGTTTTTTATCAGCTTCCAGATATGGACGCGTCATTGTATTACACAGATATTACTCCCGATGTTGATTTATTGTTACAAAATGTAACATTGACTGTGAATCGTCCAAGAAACAATGATATTGATACAAATGCAAGTTCGAACATTGTGAGCACTCCAACCTCAAGCACCGACATTAAAAAAAGTGTTACTTTCGAAGATGATGATGTTTTTGCCTTATATAATATTAATTTATCTGTACAAAAGGTAAGGATAAATTTTATTTATTTTCTTCTTTCAAATATAAAACAGGTTTCTAATACAGGGACAATTGATTGGTATCATGGGTAAGATTGGAAGCGGAAAAACTTTACTCTTAGATGGTATCTTGGCAGAAATTACAAAAACCAGTGGAATAATAGCGGTTAATGATGATCACAAAGGTTTTGGATACGTGAAACAGAATCCTTGGCTACAACGTGGTACAATACGAGATAATATTCTATTCGGAAAACCATATGATCCTAATAAATATAAGTAAATACCAAGCATCATAAAATTAATATTAATAATAAATTTTTTTTATATCACATAAATTATAATTTGATATTTATACTCCAGGAATATTTTAAAGGCTTGTGCCCTTACGACTGATTTGAATTCACTGCCAAACAAAGATTTAACAGCTGTTGGTGAAGCTGGAAATACTTTAAGCGGCGGCCAGAAGACGAGAATTTCCTTAGCTCGCGCTATATACGCAGATAAAGACATTTATTTGTTAGACGATATATTAGCGACATTGGACGTCAAAGTTGCTAAACATGTTTTTCAACATGTAATTCTAGGTTTGTTACGAAACAAAACCAGAATATTATGTACGCATCAAACTCAGTATTTGGTTCATGCAGATTTAGTTATTGAAATGTCAAAAGGAAAAATTATTAATCAAGGAAAACCAAGCGATGTATTGCCCGATCTGGAAGATTATCTTTTGTCATCAGAATCTATCGAATCCGATTTTGATATCACTTCTATAACAATGCTACCCGATGAATTTAGTCGTTCGGAAAAAAATGAAGTAGATCCTTTACTCGACAAGGAAGCGACTGAGAAAGGGACGGTACATTTCTCAGTGTATACATGTTACATTAAGGCTGTAGGACGATACTTGGCAATATCAATATTTCTTTCTATGATTCTGATGCAAAGTTCGAAAAACATTACAGATTTATGGTTGTCATATTGGGTAACACATAATAACGCTACAGTGATTAATTCAACTGACACATCCAGTCTTGGAAAATTGCAGCTGTATTACGATAATTACAGTTTGCATGATACAAAATATTATTTAACAGTTTATAGTCTGTTAGCTGTATTTAATTCCATCTTTACTTTAATCAGAGCTTTTATCTTTGCATATGGTGGGATACAAGCAGCCATAACGATGCACAAGCAACTTTTAAAGATAGTTATGCGGGTAAATATAAACTGAAGATATAAAAGTTATTCTTTATCGCTCTACTGGACATTATAACTTTCTTTTTTTCTTTTGCTAAGCTTCAAATATATATTTTATTTTAAATACGAGTGTACATAGTTTAATTATAAAGAACTGATCTATAATTATCTTAGATTTTGATTAGAATTTATTTAAAAATTATTGATAAAAATTTAGTTAAAAATATTATTTTAGGCAAAAACAATATTTTTCGATATTCAAGCAATTGGAAGGATCATAAATAGATTTTCATCAGATACATATACAATCGATGACTCTCTGCCTTTTATTGCTAATATCTTATTGGCACATCTATTCGGATTGGTTGCTACAATTATAATTACAGCTTATGGACTACCCTGGATCTTTCTGGTTTTAGCACCTCTTGTACCTGTTTATCATTGGATACAAAATCATTATAGGTAACACTTGTTTTTGTAAATTTGTTTACATATATAAATATAAAAATTAGTATTTTTTAAAATTCATATTTCCAAAATATTATTTTCTAGATTAACATCGAGAGAAGTAAAACGGTTATCTAGTATCACGTTGTCTCCTTTATACGCCCATTTCAATGAAACTTTGAGTGGCCTAACGAGTATCAGAGCGTTTCGCACTGTACCTCGCTTTAAACAGGAAAATGAATTATTATTAGAAGCTAGTCAAAAAACGCAATTTGCTTCTATAGCCGCCAGTCAATGGCTTGCATTGAGATTACAATTTATCGGTGTTGCTCTTCTAGCCGGAGTTAGCATCATGGCAGTTTTGCAACATCAATATAACATAGCTGATCCTGGTTTGATCGGTTTAGCGATCACGTATGCGTTGTCTGTAACTGGATTGTTATTCGGGGTAGTAAACTCCTTTACCGAAACTGAGAGAGAGATGATTGCCGTGGAACGAGTCAAACAGTATTTAGATAATATTCCAACTGAAAATATAACAGGCGCTAATCCGCCTTATGCATGGCCAAGTCAGGGTGTTGTAGAATTTAGAGAAGTTGTTTTGAAGTACAGGTAATGTAGTTTTGAACTTTTGATTAAGAGCAATATATGTTATGTTTATGACAAAAAAATATTATTTATTACATTTGCAGAGATCATTTGGTGCCATCTTTAAAAGAAGTAACGTTCATCACACGACCAGCAGAGAAAATAGGGATAGTTGGTCGAACTGGTGCTGGAAAGAGTTCATTACTCGCTTCATTGTTTAGACTGACAGAAATCAGTTCTGGAAGTATATTGATTGACAATGTGAACATTCAAACATTATCATTGAAAGCGTTAAGGTAATATTTAATAAATTTGAAAGAATAATTACTGCATATATTAATAATTATAAAAAAAACCATTGTAGATCTCGTTTAGCTATCATACCTCAGAATCCGTTTCTCTTCTCGGGTACTATTCGAGAAAACGTGGATCCGTTGGACCAATTCACTGATATGCATATATACAAAACTCTCGAGAAATGTAAAGTGCATTCTTTAGTTTATCGATTAGGTGGTTTGGGTGCAATCTTGGATGAAGGTGGCAGTAATCTCAGCGCCGGTCAGAGACAATTGTTCTGCTTAGTCAGAGCTGTGCTACATAATGCTAAGGTGTTTTCTATAACGTTCAAAATAGCTGACGATAGTTTATGTATAAGTAATTTTGATACTCTTTTATTGTTCATAGATTGTCTGCATTGATGAGGCCACTGCGAATGTAGATCAGGAGACAGATAAATTTATTCAAGCGACAATAAAGTCTTCCTTCCAAAGTGCAACGGTTATTACCATTGCTCATAGAATAAGAACGATTATGCACTGTGATAGGTATTTCAATTTTTACAAGCGTCTCAGAATAATAATTTGTTCGTAGAGCTAAAAGACATGATATAAATTTTTTAATGTAATTATTATTTGTTACCTAAAAATCAATTTTTTTTTCTGTTCAGAGTTTTAGTGATGGGAGATGGCGAAGTGCTGGAATTTGACGAGCCGAATTTATTAATTCAAAATGCTGATTCCTACTTCTATCATTTGGCTAACCAAGAATTTTCAGATCAAGATTAAACATGAGGCAATTTGATTGTATATAATGGGTGTATCTAGTATTGTGAACACACATATACATAATGGTTATAATGCATTATTATAACGCATTATATGTATGATAAAATTCTAGAAAGCTAAATTGTTTTTGTACGACAGGATTTTTTTTTAAGAATAAGTTAAGAGGCCTTTATAAAGCAAACATTTGTATTTGTGAGATATTTAATATATATTATAATATTATGACTATTTTAAATATTATTTATCAGAAAAGCTGAAATTAATGTGTATGTGAAGATAATCATGTAAGTTATTGAGCTATATTTTATATATAAATAAACGTTTAATAAGTAAGAAACCAAATGTTTTGTGTGATTAATTTCCTAATTTATATAATTTAGAGGATAAATTTCTCCAAAAAATTGATTAAAATTTTTACTTAAAGATATCAGCTTTTCAAGTATTCGTAGCTACATAATTATGGAAATATCTGAATTAATATCGTTTTGTAATAAATGCGTTATTCGAGTTGTGCAGTTTATCTGAGAAATGCAGGCAGCGATTTATATCGTAATTAGAAGTGCTCGCTGTTAAAGGCGAACATTTTACAATAGTGTTTTGCGGAGTTAATTAAAGCTTGGTAGCGCGTGTGCACGCTTGCGACATCCACATTCGTGTCTGTGTTTGCCTGTATTTGTGAACTCGAGGAGCGGTGCAATGTCCCGATGATATCCGACATTCAGCTAGCATTTGACGTTTCTGCGCTTTCATCGTTACAAGCAGCGAAAACTAATGAGCTATAGTGTCGGCTAATTTGCTCCCTGTTTTTTTAATTGCTCGACATTTAGTGAGATATATACTCAGTTATGTCAGCACGTCGACGAGACCGAGACGTTTCATGTATTCATGTAGTGCCGACTGAATTACGAGAATGCGAGAAAGGTATGGGTTGCTTGAGCCAGAAAACAAGCGCGATTCATGGCGCTAATGACGTCGTTCATTTTACACGATCGGTCGGTCTTTCGCGGCTTTCTGCAATGCAAAGAACTCCTCGAATAAGCTAAACTCCGCTCACTGCCGTGGTCGAGAACTATTCCCGATAGAGGAATTTTTTTCCAGAAGAATGAATTAACTTCGAAAGTTTAATATTGAGAAATTCCAGATTTTCTGTTTTTATCGACAAAATTAAAGCAAATTACGTTGATAGTATTTGTCAAATAATATATGATATTTTATGTTTCATATTTAATATTCATTTAAAATTAATTTTGATTTAATTGGTCATTTTAATTTGATAATATTGAAAATACATTTCCATAAATATTCCGTTATATTAGGTAGGACACTTATTTTTTATTATTTATAATACTGGAAATACGACATTTCCATAACTATTCCATAACTGTTCTGTTACATATATAGGATATTTATTTTTTATTATTTCTCTTTTTCTTTTCATCAAAATCCAAAACATTCGCGGAAAAATGTTTCGACTAATAACCTTCGATTGGTAGCAGTCGGGAGAAAAATCAACTTCTTGTTGCATATTTTATGAACTCTGTCACAGATATTGACGTATGATATGAACTCTACGATAAGCCTTGCTTTTAAACCAAAATTGCTTGTGCTTTGTGGCAAGAGCTTATGTCTCAAAGGAAACTCTATGACTGATGATAAGTTAAAAGGAAAAAAAAGAAGTAACATGGCATGAACTTTCTCTTGTTAGATTCTTCCTTCGGCTTTGTATCATGAAAGTATTCGCAGAAAAGATACTTTTACAACAGGATATTTCAGTTTGTGATGACAGAAAGCATTAGTACGATTCATGTAATAAAATGTAGTTATAAAATAAAATAAAAATTCTTTCATGCTTTGTTGTGTGTTAAAATTTCTAGTGTTATCAACATTGATAAGCAATAATTCCCATTTTCTATAAAATAATCTAATCGATATGAGATATGTCTATTGTTCAAAATTTTATAGTCCACTTATTTATTGTTGTAATTTTTCCGCGATGCTGATTAATTCTTTCGTTACGTTTACTTTGTAAATAGCTATCATCATGAAGATTTTGTATTTTGACAGTTGTGTGTATTGTATGTATTAAGAAATTGCTAATGTGTATTATATTAATTTCTATTTCTTTTGTTTAAAAAAATAAATAGCGCGCATATAGCGCGTGTCTATAGTGTCCATAAATTAAATACTTCATAGAAAATTTTTAAATACTTCATAGAAAATATAAAATAAAGAGTAAAATGCATGGAAAATTCTGTATTAGATAAATGATATATTTTAAAAAATAATTTTTTAACAGCATTTCTTATTATAACCACTTAAACATAGTTAAAATAAAATTATTTTATAAAACTTTGCATCTATCATTTTTGTTACAGCCTTAAGGCTAAACATGTTCAGATTTTTTTATATTCACATATGAAATGCAAAGAAAATAATGTAATTATTTTGCATAAGTTTTATAAACAGGAGATAATGTTTGAGTGAAAATATATGTTTCTAAAAGATGATTCATTAACGGATTGCATTGACTTCCTGAAATTTTTTAGAAATTCTTATCTTGGACACGG